AGAAAACTCGACTATTAAAGGGCATGGTTGTTCCGTCTTTTTGTGTTTGCTGACATGTGCGAAGAATTGTGAATGAGAGGAAAGAAAAAAAGTCCCGAACGTTGTTGACAGCTCAGTAATTGTGTTTTCTGTGGGTTTTTTTCTTCATTGTGGAAGCCCATGAGGACGCTTACAGCTTAAGACATCTGCGGTTGTGTTTCCATGAGGATGCTAATTAGCATTTTTGCTGGAAAAAGTTGGGACTCCGTTGTGTTTCCATGCCTCTGAGGTTCTTTAGCAAGTTAATTTACCGGCACGTTTCCTTTTGTGTGTCTCTTTTTGCATGTAGATGCCCTAAGATGTGTGATTTAGGGGAGATAATAGCGTCTAGTCAATTAGAGGTGCTCATAGAAAATTACGATTTTGTGTAAGTAGCTTCCGGGAATGAATCTCAACCACTTGTTGACTCAAAAAGGACCATTATGCCATCACGAGGTGGGCAAAGTGGGTCTGATTAGGACATTAGAAAAATATAAAATGGCTCACTTAGTCCGTCCAACTCCAGGTTTGTTCCTCCAGATAACCGGCACAGAGTTTCAGTGTGGTCAAAAGGTTCACAACCAGCTCACAGAGGAAACTAATGGAGACAGATCTCCTTCTGTTTTATTTTCCGTGTCCTCGCTCAGCATTACTGAGCTCTGATATGAGCGTGTTACTGTAGGTCTCTACAGAAGTGGCTTCATTTGTATTTATTCAGTAAATCCAAGGATCTCTCCTTCCTCCTCTTTTTCTGAGCCCTCTGCCAGGAACTGTGTCCTTCCATAAGAAGTTAAGGAGCCACCAGGAGAAGCTCTTCTCCCTGATTAGCCTCCAGGAGAAGCTGCTCTCTCTTAGGAGTCTCCAGGAGAAGCTCCTCTCTGTGAGGAGCCTCCAGGAGTAGCTCCTCCTAGAGAGGAATTTCCAGGAGAAGCTCCTCTCTATGAGGAGCCTACAGGAGAAGTTCTCCAGCTTCTTGAAGAACGTCCCAAAGCTCTCAGTTATCTGTCAGATTATCCCCGACTGCTCCATAATGTGGAGCTCCAGCTCTGGAAGATCCGTCCCTCCATCAGAGCTACAGAGGTTCAGTCCACTTCTAGTTCCTCTGGCAGAGCGATGCCTCTCCTCCTGTTTCCTTTCCTTAGGGTGTCTTTTCTTAACAGCCCCCCCTTCATGGAGAGCATTTCTGATGAGGCCACCAGGAGACGGATCAGGGAATCTGCCCTTAAAAATCCTATTATCTGTCTGTCAAACTCTGCCATCTTTGGCCTTCTTACAACATCAACTAAAGCATGTTAGCCAGTGTTGTTCTGTGTAGACACCACACCGGCTCATCCCTTGAGTTAGCCCCTTTCTAACGGACTGACTCGTAGACTGGAGTGAAATGGCTTAACTAAATAAAAATACAAAAGAATCGGACTGAGAACAAGAGAAAATCAGCCAATGAAAACTCCAGAAATCGCCTGAAAATACCGAATGGATGGGCTCTTTAACCCTTTAAAGCCTGATCCAAGAACAAAATAAAACAGAAAATTACTTTTTTTTTGTTTCAATTCCTTATTTGGCCTTTTAACAACAGAAATACATTTTTAATACTAATATTAGTCAAGATTATTTTTTGTGTAATCTTCTGCCCCCTGTTATCAGGTGTATCTGATTGTGTACAATAGGATTTTGAGCAAAGTTTTTACCATTAAATTATGCAAAAGGTGTCAGAAACAAAACATTTCAGAAACCGTATGTATCAAATATGATACATTTGGCATTATAGGGTTAAAACCCACCTCTTTTCTTTGGCTTTTGACACCATGTAGAGCGTAGATTTTATGTATATACATGCATATTTTTATCCTGTGCGGGCAGTGTTTTTACTTATTTATATTTATTTTAATGTTATCAATTTATTCTGTATGCCTCAAGTCAAAGATTGGGGACTATCAGTCAGCATTTGGGACTCTGAGTGATTCTTTCTCTTCGTCTCTCACTTCCCTCCCAGTCACAAAATGCTGGGTGATGCATTTGGAAGTTTCAGGAATCCCTTCAGTCTGCATATTTTAAGTTAAATGTGTGTTCGTGTGTGTGTGTGTGTGTGTGTGTGTGTGTGTGTTTGAGGGGCCTGGAATAGAGAGAGATAATGAAGGCCTTGGTGTAAGCTCTGGTGAGAGGACAAATTTGGAAACACCAGATCAGAGGGAGAGGCGGTGCCTCCATGCTGGAGAACCTCAGGCTGCACTTTTACACCAACTTTAGCGGCTGTTAGCGACAGGAACCGAGCCCCCGTCTGACTGAGTAACTCTGTCTGACTCTCCGGCTTTCTATCAATATCTGTCGGAGATATGCAGACGCTCACCACCGAGTGGAAAAGCAGAAATAAACCCTCGAATGCTGCCGAAAGCAGATAATGTGTCGGACAAAGGCTGTTTTTGTTTGGGGATTTAAGCTAGTTCTTAGTTTTCATGTGAACAGATTTAGGTCTTAAGATATTGGAAAATTAGGCTCAAGTGAATTTTAGCTCCCCAAGACCCCCCCACCCCCTTCACAGGGATCCAAAGAGCTACACTGTCCATCAGGCTGGTTTCTGGACTCCAAACTTGTTTTGACCTTTGACCTTTAAGTCGCTAACTGAGGCCTGGAGAGTCTGAGATGTAGCTGCTGGGTTTCTGATTTATGGAAGACCTTAATAACTCTTTATTGGTGGTTTATTGCGGTTTCTGGACTCTGATGGACCACGGATTCCATCAGGCTGGTTTCTGGACTTCAAACCTGTTTTGACCTTTGACCTTTAGGCCGCTAACTGAGGCCTGGAGACCCTGAGATGTAGCTGATGGGTTTCTGATTCCTTAATAACCTTTTATATAAAACATCTCCCCTTTATTTACAGTTTTATTTGTGGTGAACAATCTGACTACATTTGATCAAACAGAGATTTAAATAAAAGTCGAAAACAGACTTCAGTATTTTAACCTGTTTTCTTCTTTCCTTTCCTCCATCGTATTGAGGAAGAGGAGTTACCCCCCCTTCACCAGAGTTTGATTTGGTTCACTAGTTAGCCGAAGAAGTTCAAAGGGATCAATCAATAAACATGCTTTTTTCGACAGTTGATTACCACCGGACAACTTCATTCGTTTGTGAGGAGACTGCTGCAGAGCTTGTAATCATAGTCTTATAAATAATGTTTATACATTTTAGTGTCATGTTTTAAGCTATCGGTCATTTTGGCGGTTACTCATGCAGTTCAAACCTTTTATTAACTCATTGGCTGCCAAAGACTTCTATAGACGTCTTTTATGTTTTTCAACGAGTGGCTGGGGGACGATCTGCTAAAGCTTGTCCGTAAATATCGGGCTTCTAGACAGAGTATGTAGTAACAAATTGACCCTCTAGGGGGCAGTGCCACTTTTGATGGGAGATGAGCATAGACTGTAGGCAAATAAGAAAAAGGGAACGGTTCGCTATGAGAGAACATGTCGCCGGTGAGACGCAAGTCCAGGAAGTTCACACTCAAACAGAGTTTGTGTCGCAATCGCAGTAGTTCGGTTGGTGTCCCGATCGTGGGAAATGAAGGAGATCCACCCGGGCCAGGCGGAGAGAGTAGGCATAGCTCACGGCGTGTTTCATAACTATTTACATAAATGTATTTGTGAATAAATTATTTTGTAATTTAAAATGGAGAAACATGGCGTGTTTCACCACAGCCCAACTCTGCAGATAGTTCCGGGTCAGATGAATTTAGCGATTTAGCGAGATGTTGTTTTTGCCGTTTTATAGAAGGATCCAACTTTTAAGATGTTTGAGGTGTCACTAAAGCCCAAAAAATAGCATCAAAGACACTTCTCTGCTTGAACTGTATTTTTTCACAAAAAGCTTGTTTTCTCCATTTATTGGTCAAAAGCTGGTGTTTTTGTTGAAACAAACCTATGTTCTACTGCTGATTACTAAAGAACGGAATGAGGTAGAAACAATTTCTTTTTCATGATGACAGAAGAGAGTCTACTCTTTCTTTAGGTGTGTTCGGTGTTTACATAGTCATAGCAAAAACTATTCTGTGGCTCTTAAAAAATCAGTCAAAATGCTCCAAAAAAACTGGCAGTATGGGACTTTCTGTTCTGAAAATGGCTGGCAGTCAATGAGTTAATACCATTCCTAGATGTTGTTTTTGCCGTTTTATAGAAGGATACAACTTTTAAGATGTTTGAGGTGTCTCTAAAGCCCAAAAAATAGCATCAAAGACACTTCTCTGCTTGAACTGTATCTTTTCACAAAAAGCTTGTTTTCTCCATTTATTGGTCAAAAACTGGTGTTTTTGTTGAAACCAACCTATGTTCTACTGCTGATTACTAAAGAACGGAATAAGGTAGAAACACTTGTTTTTTCCTGATGAAAGAAGAGAGTCTACTCTTTCTTTTGGTGTGTTCGGTGTTTACGTAGTCATAGCACAAACTATTCTGTGGCTCTTGAAAAATCAGTCAAAATGCTCCAAAAAAACTCTGGCAGTATGGGACTCTCTGTTCTGAAAATGGCTGGCAGTCAATGAGTTAATACCATTTCTAGATGTTTTTTTGCTGTTTTATGGAAGGATACAACTTTTAAGGTGTTTGAGGTGTCACTAAAGCCCCAAAAATAGCATCAAAGACACTTCTCTGCTTGAACTGTATCTTTCCACAAAAAGCTTGTTTTCTCCATTTATTGGTCAAAAACTGGTGTTTTTGTTGAAACCAACCTATGTTCTACTGCTGATTACTAAAGAATGGAATAAGGTAGAAACAATTTTCTTTTCCTGATGAAAGAAGAGAGTCTACTCTTTCTTTTGGTGTGTTCGGTGTTTACATAGTCATAGCACAAACTATTCTGTGGCTCTTGAAAAAACAGTCAAAATGCTCAAAAAACTCAATGAGTTAATTGTCTCTGTCTCCACCTCCTCCTGTCCTTCCCCTCCACCATTTTCTCCCCAGTTCTCTCTTTTTGGCTCCCGCTCCTTGGGCAGACCCTCTAATCCCCCTTCCTCCTCCTCCTCCTCTTCCTCTTCCTTCTCCTCCTCCTCTTCTTCCTCTCCCGCGGCGGCCCTGAGCAAAGCGGAGTTCCTGGACTGCGTGCGGCGCAGTAACCAGGCCTGCCAGCAGGGGGAGTTCGGGCTGGCCGAGCGTCTCTATGGCGACGCCCTGGCCTCCGACCCGCAGAACCCCATCCTGTACAGCAACCGCTCCGCCGCGCGCATCCGTTTGGGCCAATACGGCCCCGCCCTGGAGGACGCCCTCCAGGCCCGCATCATCAACCCCAAGTGGCCCAAGGTAAGGCGCTACCGGAGGGTCACCTGTTGCCGGGCGAGATCTGAGGTCCGCCCTGTTATTGGCCTGCTAACTGCCGGCTAACAACCTGCTAATGGCCTGCTAATGTCGGCTAACGGCCGGTTAGCAGCCGGCTAACGGCCTGCTATCGACCGGCTAACGCCCGGTTAACAGGCTGCTAACTGACGGCTAATGGGTATGAACCCCAAGTGGCCCACGGTAAGGCCCCCCCCGGAAGGTCACCTGTTGCCGGGCGAGATCTGAGGTCCGCCCTGCTAACGGCCGGTTAGCAGCCGGCTAACGGCCTGCTAAGGTCGGCTAACGGCCGGTTAGCAGCCGGCTAACGGCCGGTTAGCAGCCGGCTAACGGCCTGCTATCGACCGGCTATCGCCCGGCTAACAGGCTGCTAACGGACGGCTAATGGTCTTCAACCCCAAGTGGCCCAAGGTAAGGCCCCCCCCGCACGGTCACCTGTTGCTAGGCAAACTATGAGGTCCGCCTCAGCCTTTGTTGTGTTTATTCACCTCTCTGTCTCGTTTTAAAAGTCTCCTTAACCCTTTAAAGCCTGATCCAAGAATAAAAAAAAAGCAGAAAATTACTTTTTTTTTTGTTTGAATTCCTTATTTGGCCT